CTTGTATTTTGCTGCTAAGGAATACGCAGCTTCATACTGGGCGTAGGGTTCAAGATGACACCGGAACCAGAAACTCTGCCGCCCCAATCCGCAGCTTTGACAAGCCCTCCAAGCCCAAAAAACCCGGCAGTCTCAACTGAGCCATGAACCCATAAAAAACCCGCCCCACACACCCTAAACCCGAGTAGAACCCTAGTAGAACCCTTGAAAAAGGCCTGTTTAGAACCCTAACAGAACCCTGCTAGAACCGGTAGCCAAACATGGGAGTCGAGCAGCCGTAGGAAGCGAGTCCCGCGATGCCTCCCGTGGCCAAATGTGGGGTTCTTGACATCAGGTATTTTTAGAGGTTTAAAGTCCCTGCAAGGCTGTGTACGGCTCAGAACTGAGCTTCAGGGAGTCTCTGAAAGCTAATCGGTGTCTGTGGAAGTTATGTAAGCAGTAAGCGTACAATGCGGGAAAGCCGTGTCCCTACAGGCTCGTGGACCAAAACCCCTCTACGGGTTTTGCAGCGGCGGTATGGGGATTTACATGGGCGTAAGGGTTTCTTCAAATTCGGGGTGCCATATCTAGAGGGGTCCTTCGTATGAGGAGTGGTGCTTTCAGGGGCCCTTCTTTCCCGAGCTCCAAGCTGTTGGCTTCGGGAGTACTAACTTGGGAACCTCAACAAGGTGCTTTTGCTTGGGGCATGGGCTGACAGACACACATACTCTGAATGTCAAGAACAGAACAAGAATATCAGCGATGATAGCAAACAATCATAGTCATGATGGCTGCCAGCACTCCTATCACCAAGATCAACTCACCGTCATCTTCCTGACCATCATCGTTCTTATCATCATCGCAGTCAGGTTAACCTTGATGCCCTAGCGCTCGAAAATGTACATACAGCCCATCAGCTCCACAGCGACCCATGGCACGCATCGCTTGGCATGTAGACACCAGGAGCCTTGCAAAAGGACCCCTCAGCTCCATCAAAGCCGCATCCTCTCTCAGCTCTCTACTTGGATCTGCTTGAGGGCCCAGACCAGAGAGAAGGCCTGAAGACCTCGAAAAAAAAAAACCTGCAGAGCCCCGAAGTCCTCACGGTTCGAACCCAGCCTCTGCCTCCGCAACCGTGGGCAAAGTTCTCACCTCTTCGATTGGGTTTTGGAGGGCTTTTGGGTTTATGATATTTAAACGGGCTGTGGGTTGAGGGTCTGGAGGTTTTGGACTTGTGCGCTGGCGGCTTGTCCGCATGCAGATCCCAGATCCCTTTCGCAACGCCAGGCTGCTCGGGGTTCATCCCTCCAGCCCGTAGTTCCTTTCAAACGACAGAGGTTCTGAAAGATTTGGATAAGAAAGACCGATGTTTCCGGAGTTCGAGGACTATTGTTGGGTTTCAGGTCTAGGGATGACTTTCTCCATTCCAAGATAGACATAGAGTAGACGAAGGCCACCCGGCAGAAAAAACTCCAAGCGCCGTGCCCTCAGCCACACTGCTACTGCTACACGGCAACCTGGGGCCCAGATAGTGCAAGTATGCACAACCCGCTGGAATAGAAGCCGCACAAGAAGCTTTGGATCCTGCCTCTTGAAGTCCCAAGCCTTCCCCAGAAAAGCAACCCCGGCCCCAATTCCTATCCCACACCACCTCGCGCGCAGGTGGGTGCCACCGTCGGAAAGTCGCGCCTGGGCGAAGACATCAAACCCCCAACCTTGGAGCTCTTAAGCCCTTCCAAGCCCGGAGCCATGATATCATAACCCTTGAGCCTTCAAACCCCTACGCCCCCAAGCCTAAGCTAGGTAGGAACCTGAAGTTTCTGAGTTTTCATTGAGGGCTTCAACGGTTTTAGAGGTTTTGGGGGGAACTCGGAAATCGTGCTTCGGGCTGAAAGCCGTTCGTTTCAGAGCTTCGGCCGTAATTTCATTGGCTTGAGTTGCTTCTTTCTCTTTGTTCCGGGAGGGGCATCAGGGTTTTAGGTTTTGGGGCTTCGAGGATTTTGGCTGCGGGATGGCAGCTATATACAAAGACGCCTTAAGAGACTTAAGCATTTGCGAGAGCGTCGGACAGGGCATCCCAGCTTGTTTGAACTCTCCAAGGCATGCAGCATCAGGGCCATCAGGTTGAGCAACTATGTTGAGGGTTCCGGGTCGATTCAAGTTGCAAATCTCGTATGAGCCATAGGACTCAAGGCATGAGGTTTCGCGGGGTAGTAGCAGATAGAGTTGAAATGAATTGACAAATTCCGGCTGGGCCCGTTTCATCGATTCTTTCAGACTGGCGCGTTGCGGAAGTAGCTCGAAAGGCCAAATCCAAAAGGGAACGACATGCAGCAATTGAGCCCCATCCCAAACAAGCCGAAACCCGATACCTCAAACCCACCTGAACGCCAAAAAGGACCCTGGCCCGCCCCCCAAAGTTTGAGCCACGCACGCTCAGCGTGGGAGTGGATGTGGCGGACACAGGCCTCGGAGCTTTGGCTGATCGCAGCGGTGCGAGCGCAGCCTCTTTCCTCTTTCTTTCGGCTGGCCCGGATCTTTTTTTCAGCTGGCCAGTCAAAACATGATCGCTTCGGGATGTCGCCAGGTAGTACCATTGCAAACTACGGCAGACCAAGCCACCTAAGCCGAGCCAACACCGTGATAGAAACACCTCTGCAAGTCTGGGAAACCTGAGCCACACTTCCTGAACAAAACATGGAAGATGATGATACAACGATAGTGATGACGCTGATGCTGTCACCTCGCACAGCAGCTATCAATCACGGAATCCTCTGCCCTTTCGATCCCGGTCGCTGCAGTCTCGCGCAGCTGGGAGTCAACGGCAGCCGGCTGACCAAGATCAAGCTGCCTGGTGGGGATGCCAGGCCTAAAACCTTGCCCTAAACTACAAACCGTGAGCCCTACAGCCTCGGAGCCCAAACTCTACACCTGGCTTTCTTCAATGCTCGTTGGGCCTTTTCTTATGATCTAAAACCCCGGGATGGTCAGCTTCATGCTGAATCTAAGGAGCTGCTGAGTTTATGACGACATGGTCTGCTCTTCCCCACCCCATCCGGTTGAGTGTTTCAACTTCCCGGCCATGTTCACATGCGTTTCCTAGCATGTCGGACTGGGATGAAAGCATGTTCCTCTCCTGTGTCTTGGTAGACTTGCATCCTCAGGGACTCAAAGAACAGACATGCCGTCTTTGCCAAAGCAGCAGCGAATGCCGCAGAACACTAGGAAGTCCAGAAAGCAAGTTTAAGGCTAAGGGCCGATCATGACCGTCTAGCAGTGTGCTTTTCCGACGGAGTGAGAGGGAAACCCTTATGCCCAAAGGAAACCCAAAAGGGTAAATGTTAAGATCCAAATTTCGGGTTTTAGGATGAGAGAGAGAGAATCGCGAGAGCATGCTTCGACCATACCAACAGGAGTCGCTGCATCGACCAAGATATGTGCAGCAAAGCTCCGAAGTCCTGCAAGCCGAGAACCCACAAAACCTCGCAACCTTGAATTTCGAAATCCCATAATCATTGCATCCCAAAACCGTAGAACCCGAACTAGCCCGAAGCTGTCAACACTACACCCCCGAAACCCTGAAGCTCTGACCCCAGTCGCTGAGCTCCCAAACCCTTTTTCTTTCAAACCTAGGCGGTCCCAACACTACTTGCTAAACCCCCACTTTCATGGGGGCTTACAAACCCTAAACCCTAAAGCCCAAACCTCTCAACCGGGAAGGCGGGGATGGGGCCTGAGGCGCTCGACTCCCGCGACCAGCTGAGTCCTTGGCCACAAATAGAGACGAGCTAAAACTCGGGCCGGTGCAACAAAAATAATTCGAACAAGATTTCGGTGTAGCATACACCATAGTGCAATATTGAACAACCCTGAGGAATAGTATTCGTACTGGCAACTATCTTGGCCACAAGTTTTGATGATCTGTTCGGGGGTTCTAATAAGGCTTTGTAGGCTCCTCATATGGGTTACATGGCATATATTACTTGCACATGCATGGCATACAACCAACCCACAAATGCAAAGCATCAATCCCGGAACCGTCAGTAGATCCTGGACACTGCAACTCATAGATCCGAGGTCACCTGGACCCAAACCCCATGCGTTGGATCCCTGAAGTACCCATGTACAATACCTTACAGAACTGATTGTCATGGTCCCCGGGTCCGATCGAAACCTCGAACTCTAGCACCGAACGTCGACCGCTGAATCCCTCAGACCCAAAAGCCTAAACGCTACTCGTGAGCTGATAGCCCCCAAACCCAAACCCCGAAAGCCTACATCCCTGTTGGAACTGACCCAAATATCGTTGAAGCAAAAAACATCAACATCCATAGAAAAACTCACTCTCTCTCTCTCTCTCTCTCAGTCGCGCAGAGCGTGTCCACAGGTGAGACCGCTCGTCAGCAGCCCTGTCAATGGGACTAATGTGCGGGGAAAACATAAAGTCGGCGGAAGCATACAGCTTGGGGAACAAGTTCCGGAAAAACTACATTCCTGCAACCAAGCTGCTCTGCCTGTCTGTAGACGGCCCTCTCAGACGCACTTTTTACTTGGAGCTGCGCCAATCGAGTTGATAAGAAGTCAAAAGGCTGATGGTAGGCTTCAGCTAGCAACAGCCACCTCAAACAAAAGCCGCCTTCTTGGCCAAAAAGGCACCACACTCAATCGCCTGGGGCCCTTCAGACTGGATCCCGAAGCCACCTTCAAGGATGCCTCCCTCGGGAAACACGTGGGCACCAGCGATGAACAGCTCATAGTTAGATCCTGGCTTCGGCGGTGGGGATGGTGGAGGAGAAACTTGAGAGGAGTGCAACCACACAGGTCCCGGCAGATCGTTCCGTGCAGGTCACTGCTCTCCTGTCGGACGCTGTTTCAGGAATAGCCCAATTCATTCCTGCAACCAAGCTGCTCTGCCTGTCTGTAGACGGCCCTCTCAGACGCACTTTTTACTTGGAGCTGCGCCAATCGAGTTGATAAGAAGTCAAAAGGCTGATGGTAGGCTTCAGCTAGCAACAGCCACCTCAAACAAAAGCCGCCTTCTTGGCCAAAAAGGCACCACACTCAATCGCCTGGGGCCCTTCAGACTGGATCCCGAAGCCACCTTCAAGGATGCCTCCCTCGGGAAACACGTGGGCACCAGCGATGAACAGCTCATAGTTAGATCCTGGCTTCCCCCCCACCCCCCCCCACCTGCTGCTGGCGAAGGTTGAGGGTGAGGAGCAGGAGCATCAGCAAGTCGACCGGGCGGGTCGGGTGGGCGACCACCACCTGCTGCTGCGCAGGAGGTGTGGCCACAGCGTCAGACTGCGGCAGCGACGCCACAGGTTTGCTCTCGCCACCCAGGTAAAGGTTCAGGTACTCCACGACCTGATCCTCCATCTCAGTCGCTGCCTGCAAAGTCTGAGACAGGAGTTCCTGGATCAGATTCGACATGAGGCTAAACATGGCCTTGCCCAACAGTCTGAGGATCAAAGTGGCGAACTTGGCGATGATGCGAGGGAACACCAAGAAACACACCAGCAGCAAGACCGTCCACACACTAAGACGCGGCAACCAGGCTCGCCACGAGGTTGGTTCTGCAGGTGTGCCGTCGCGCGAAGCAGGGCGAATTGGCCGAGGCCGGACAGGGGCAGGCGGCCCCCCGCTCAACTCACGAGTTGGCCCATTCACCCAGGCTTGTAGGCCTTGCCTCGCCCGGGCTAGGACGGCCGTTAAACGGCGAGCACTGCTTCCCGCACGCCACCTGGCAGCCGCTGCCCGCGCCTGCGGGTCCTCCAACATCCAAAGGCTGCTTGATTTGCCCAGCCAGCGACTGCAGCGCCTCAGCTGCAGCAGAAGCGGTGCCTTCTGTCGCTTCCTCAGCCTCCCCCGCTCCCTCACGACGCCTTACATTGGAATTGGGCGGTGCTCTGGCATCTGAACGTCGGGGTAAACGGACTTCCACAGCTTCAGCGCTTCGTCTTTGCTCTGCACTCGCCTGAGGCGGGTACGAGAGCCTGAGAGTTGGCCTTGAGGGAGCTGCCTTTCGATCATCTTCCATGTGTCTGCGCCCGGCCCAGACCAATGGCCGAGCAGGTGCGGTCGCTCCGGCGACTCCAGCACTATGTAGTGCCGGAGGTCCCGTCGGTAAGCTACTGAAGACCCACACACCGGAGGCGTAGCGGTTTCTCTGTCACTGCGGACTGAGTCGCGCGAGACGCGCCCGTTGAGCTCACCAAGTGCTGCTTCACTGCGCCCAGGCAACGACACCCGAGACCACGACGAGGTAGCTCCAGCGGTCCTGGTGGACGACGACGAAGGAGAGCTCGGACCTTCCTGTTCTGCTTCTTCAAGTGCAGCCGCAAGTTCCCGAAGAGCCCGCGATAAGCGAGACATCTAACCCACGACAGTGCGACGAGGCTTAGGAGGCGGAGAGCCCCAATAGCCGCAGTAATCATACACTTCAGCAAGCTTGTCCTTAGCAGAGCCGGGAGCCTGGGCCAACGTGTGAATGGCCAGGGCATCTTGCAAATAATGCCGTAATGTTTCCGTCCTCCGCCATCGCCCCGCAAACTGCAAGAGGCCTAGGTTTTGTTGTGTGCGAAAGTGGTGGCAGGCGCCGCCTCCCCGCAGTGACCCTAGCGTCAAATGACAGGTCTCCAAATCCAAAGCATTGAGGGCCTCACGTAGTCGCTCCGACCACTTCCGGCGTCCCACCTGCAAGAAGCGAAGCGAAGGTTTTTGATCCTGCGCCCACCATCGTAACCAGGACACCAGAGCCCGATCATGTATGAGGATGAATTGGTTCGCCCATACTCTCCGCGTCTTAGCTTGACGTATGTTTACGACCAGCCCCACATTCTCACAAAGCTCTGCCACTTCTGGAAAACAAAAGTCGGAGAATTTGAGGTTATCTACCTCGCCAGGCCGGAGCATTCCCGCAAACGCTAGCCAGATCCCCAACATAGTTGAGAACCATTCCGCTTTCGCCGAACCGCTGGATTGATTCGCAAAGGCCAGGCAGACGACAAGGACACATTGCATCACATAATGGGTCATTGGCACCCGCGGCTTGATTGGTTGCAACATCCGCCACGCTCGAAGGTTTGACCAGGTGTTCCTCAACAAAGGCCCGGACAGTCGAAGCTCCTTTTGAATGCTCAGCACTGCCAGGGTAGCCCAGTACAACTTTTCACCACCTTGGAAAGCCGCCTCAACCGCTCGCTCCAACCACGCATCCACATACCTTGACGATGACTTCTTTGTAATACATCCCCCCAGCGAGACTACCAGACCAAGCATCCAGCACCCTGCTTCCCGGAGGCGCCGATATTCCGGAGTCAAGGTAGTGTCACGCAGACGCCCAGGACGGGTTCCACGAGAGGGCGGCATCGGCAAGGAGATCGCAAAAGACTTTTGGGTAGGTCACCAAGGCACCATTTCGGGGCTGAGGATTCGGTGCGTGTCGGCACGGACACTGCGGGCTTACTGAACTCAACCACGGCGCATTGGACAACACAACAGACTGCTCGAGTTCCCCCTCCTCACGGCTTCCCGGGTCGACATAAAGGTTCCAATCGACAATATATCTGCGGATCCCCTCGTGCTTCGACATGAAAAGCTGCGTATCCCGGCCTCGAAGTGCTCCCCCTTTCCGCGGGTGCTCGATGAACACATCCCATTACCTTCAAGCATGATTGCCGCCAGACCTAGCACCTCACTCCAAATCCGAGGACCACAACCCTTAGGAGGAGCCAACCACAACCACCTGATCACCCCCTCCTCGATGGCTTCGGCAACCCAAGAATGCCAGCCTAGTGTTGTCCGGAGTAGGCTTGCCTCGTGCCCGACATCAACCGGGTCCCACATCATCAGACCTTTGTCACGATGGGCTTCCGTGAAGTACGCTGAACCGAAAATCTGCACACCACTTCCTGCTCTTATGTGCCTAACCCCAAAACGTGACATCCAGCGAGGCGGAGGCTTTGGAGGCGGCAGCGACCTGAAGCGGGATGGGTGGTCGCCCAAGTTGGACTCGGTTTCCACCCACAGGAGCGCCAAGACTATGTCGGCGAAGATGAGATACGGAAGCTGAGCCCTTAGCAAACCATTCAACTTGTAGGAGCTTGAGCGCCCCTTGGCAACCGCTCCCACGATCACGCGGCTGTCATTGAGGCACACCTGCACATGGCCGGCGTTCCGTAGGGCGCTGGCCATACGAGCAATTTCCCGACGAAGTGCTCGACCCTCCTGCAAGTTTATGTGACTGGTACTGCGGAAAGAATAAGAAGCAGTCACCGTCCATTGCAAACACTCCGAAATCGCACTGGCAAAAGTGGACACCGCGATCGGCTCCTCCGCCTTCCACGTGAAAGCCTCCGCACGATCTAGCCGTACTGGAGCCCCCCTTATTTCAGACCGGCGCCACAACTCCTCGTTCAGCTCTGGAGCAACTCGGGCCCTCACAGCGCCCCCTGAGGTAGGAGTCGCATCAGTAGCCAGCACCGAAGGATGCAAACTTCGACGCATATTCCACCTGGCAAAAGGGAGATGCAAGGCAACACTCCGGAGCTCGTCAACGATGTGATTCGGGAGTCGGCACCACTTCTTCTCGGGCAGCTTCGCCACAAAATTGTAAACCCTGTGGTGCAAGCAGAACAACTCTCGCCTAAACTGAAAAGCGAAAGCCAGGAAACCGAGCACCTTCTGCATGATCTCCTTCGTAGCCCAGCCTGTCGCAACAAGACGCTCCAACAACCTCCACACTTGCTGGCGCACCGACAACGGTGAAGCGATCGTGCCTTGGACACCGTCAATCTCGGCACCCCAAGCCTTGAACTTCGTCAACGCACGAAACGATTTGTGCAAAGCCCTCTGCAACCCCGCGGCATCATAAGCACCCTCTGCCTTCGACACCTCCTGCATGTCCGCATCTTCAGCCGAAGCCTCAGGCGGGTCGAACGTGCCATCGAGCGGGACTGCGGCTCCAACGGTCATGCGCTGCACAACGAGCAAGTCATCTAGATAAACCCCCTGCCACAAATCCCCACGAGGAGCACTCTGACCATAGCGCAAGGTTGTCTCAGGGTCCAACCCACCGTGTTTCCGTAGGATCCCCTCGTGCGTCGCCTGCGCGATTGCACACCCGTTGCGATCACCCATTCCCAATACCCGAAGACATAGGCGATGGTGAATACGAGGATCAAGCCCTTGTTCTTCTACGACACGAGCATCAACCCTGCGGCCAACAGGATTAAACCTCTCCCAGCCTTCAGGAAGTCGCAGGTTGTAGTAGAAGTTCCGCAGATCATCACCTGAGCCGCGAAGGTATTGGTTTGGTTGCAAAAGAAGACGAGTGAAGCATGCCGCGCTAGGTAGAGTAGCCCAGTCCAAATAAGGCATAGTGGAGTTCTCGGGGCGGCGGTCATATATTAGTCTGTCTTCATGCTCATTCTTCGCCACGGCAAACAAACCACCTACCAACATCCGACCATCACGACGACGAGGCAAAGCGTCTTCTGGGACCAGCACAGCCATCTTCGTCTCGAGCAGCTTTCGAGCCAAATCAGCCTCCTCGGCCTGGGGCACCCGATGACAGGCAAGGGGAGCTTCATCCCAAAGATGCTCGGGCAACCGAATCGACTCAAGGTCCCGGAAAACAGCTGCTCTATCCTCTGGTAGCCAGTCTCCTGGATCAACACCTCCCGCTGAGTTGGGCACCGCGATGCGGTCAGCCGTCACGGCCAAGGCGGGCGACGATGTCGAGGCGGGGGCCTGAACACCATCAAAGTAGCTTGCACCTGCACTTTCCTGGACTTGCGCGAGGAGGTCCTCTACAGTCGCCCTCTTACCTTCACAAGCAAGACGACCCAAAACCAAGTCCGAGGCGGCAAATTCCTCCACCTCACCAAGCAACCTGTCGGCGAAGGCCCGCGCCTCCGTGCAACTCCGATAGGCCACTCGTGGCTCGTATGCGCTACCACCCCAACGAGGACAACCCAGAACCACAAAGTTAGACCAAGCGACGAAGCTGTTCATCAACGACTTGGCCCACCACACTCTGGCCTCATCCTCACCCTTCACACCCGCCGCCGAGAGGGTCTCCGGGTAGGGCAGCGCACACGGAAAAAGTGATATTGAATCGCCAGACCGCTCCAGCAAAGAACCTTGGGCGCCTTCGAACCAAGTAATTAAGATACTTCATAAAATCAGAATTCCGTCCTAAAAGGGCCGGGTGCCTAAGACAGCCTAGCCCAGCATGCAGATTTCCAGGGACCGTCACTTCCGAGAAGAACCCTGTCCGGGCTCGTCCTCGTCGTCGCCTTCTTTTCCGTGAGCTTCGCGAACCTTCTTTTTGAGCCGAGCCATGGCATCGACGTACCCCGAGACAATGGTCATCTCCTGCTTGTTGCCGGCCCACTCCTTCTTCTGGACCGGGTCGACCAATCCAGTCAATAGCCATGCCGTCGTCCAGTCGCCCTGCTCGATGACCGCCTGCATCTTCGCCTTCAAGTTCTGGATTGTCTGAGCTGCGGCCGCTTCGGGGCGACCATTGCGGATCAATTCGTAAGTCGCCACGTCCATCATGGCGCACCTGAATAGTCCTTTGTAGCGGCCCCAGCTTTGCCTCTTCACGTAATCCCGAAGTGTCCAGCTCTGCCCTGGTACCACTCCCAGCTCCTCCACGACCTCCTTCTCGAAAGCCGCGATCACCCGCCTCGGCTTTTTCAAGATCTGCTCGTGGAAGCGGTGCAAAGTATGAACGGCCTTCATTCCCTTGGGATCCAAGCCATCCTCTTCGCTTCCGGACTCGTCGGAGGAAGAGCCACCAAGGAGGGCCTCGGACCTTTTTCGAGACCGTCGCCCCTTTCTGTCCTTCTCCAACATCTGGGCCATGAGCATCATGGGTAACAGACTGGCCGGGTCCGCACCACTTGCAACCGCCTTTGCCATCATCTTCTTCACGTCGAAGGCCTCCTCTGATCCCCGAGCCTCGGCCTTTTTCGCCTTCCGGGCGCTGCCACCTGGCGGAAGAAAACCCTTCTGAAGGGGAACCTTTCCCAACTCGTCGTCCTCGGCCTCCTCGTCTTCCTCCGATCCATCGCTCTCCTCTCCAAACAGAGTGGCCAATCCCTTCAAGTGAGGGGTCAGCTTGGACTTCCTGGCAGAAGAACCCTGTGCCACATTTCCCGATCCGCTGGCTACTTCCTCTGATCGTCTTCTCGGCTGCTCGGCTTCGCTGCTGGTCAGGTCTGAGGCACTCAGCTTCTTCCATCCCGCTTCAATGATCCGCCAACCCGGCACGTCACTCAAGCGAGGTCCTGTCCAATCCTTCGGCCTATCAAGAACCAAAGCCGAAATGGGAGCCCTCACGAATCCCAAGGAATGCCTCCTTGCACTGCAGCTTATGCTCTAAGGTCTTCACGGAATCTGCAATGGTACCAACTACGCCGTCTGTCCCCGGCAGCTCCACAACCCAGCCCGTCACAGCAACATGGCCATCGGCTGTGCTACAGCTCAAAAAGGCTACGTCTCCTAAGACAGCCATCCCTAGAAACTTGAGAGGAGTGCAGCCACACAGGTCCCGGCAGATCGTTCCGTGCAGGTCACTGCTCTCCTGTCGGACGCTGTTTCAGGAATAGCCCAATTCATACACGATGGACATGTCTATACAGGGCTCTTCGCTACCCTTTTCGGGTGAGACGATGGCAGGACTAGGGTAAATTTTCCGGCCACCGTGGGGAAAAGCTTAGTCAGAAAGGACGCTTCTAGAGTCGCTGGTAAAGCTCACCCGACGCACAAGGGGAATTCGTGACCACTCGCCGATAAAAGATGGATCACCTGATAAGTCAGTTGACGTTGGTGTAAAGCGTGGGAAGGCCGTGGTCCCCCGGTTCGCCTCATGTCGGCTCCCCTAGACAGCTTTGTGGAATACTTCAAACGGGGCAACTGCTAAGTTGGAGTCAATGTCATCCAGTGGGAAGTTGCTGTGCAAGCTTTGACAGATCAAAAGTATGGTCATCCAGAAGTGTGTCCCGTCGTACGGTGTAGACATGCACCTGCAGACCTGACAGTCTGATGGGATGTTCCAGAGGTTTCCGGTTGCGTCATTGGGAGCCACCGGTCTCCCATGCTTGGCAAAACACGTAGGCAAAAAGCGGCAGGGTCAAGTGGAACAAGCGTAGGGAGGCACACCACTCCCACATCGGTCTGGAAATAGAGTGCGGGATGACATTCAGACCCACATAAAACCTCCAGAATAATTTGTTGGAAAGCGTGATACCAGTCGAGGTTGATGGTCAGGTGGGAAAAGTCTAAGGAGAGCCCATCCTCCACTGATAATCTGATCATCGTAGCGGTGGAATTGAGTACCGACCTGCAGTGGACGGTCAGGCGCATGTGCTTGTATTGGCAATCGGCAAGAAGTCGTAATGTCAGTCACTGCGGGACACAGTGGCAATCCTGCGGTTCGCGCGAAGCTGGTACCATGGCGGCACGGATAGGGAAAGGGACGATCCACGCTGTCTTGTGCCAGAACCTAGAAAAACTCACTATGCACGCAAACTCACGGCCCCGCTGCGGCCCTGGGCGTCCCCGCACGTGGTGCCGCAGGCGGTTGGCATTCCGTGGCTCTATGGGCTCTGCACCCTTGCCTCTCAAGACGAAGAAGGAGCTTTGGGGATGTTGGCTTTAGGGCTTTGAGGTAAGTTGAGGTAGCAATGCGGGATCAGGGGAATCATGTACCGAGTATCGTTCATCATAGGTCAAATTGCTGACCTTTCGAGCTGTTTCTCAAACGTTCTAGTCCCTTTCGAGCGGCCTGCTCGTGTTTCTCACACGACCTGGTCCCTTTTGAGCGGTTTGCTTCTGTTTCTCATCAGCTTTAATCCCTTTCGGGCAGTTGTTCTGTTTCTCAAGTGTTCTCTTCCTTTTCGGGCGGCTTGCACCTTGCTCCACCAATGCTCTACTAGTCTGCGGCTTGCTCCTTTTGCTCAAATGCTTGTGCCGTTAAAGCTGGTTGCTACTGCTGCCTAGGTACCCTAGTGCTTTTCGAGCGGCTTGCTGGAGTTTCTCACGTGCTCTACTCTCTTTCGAGCGGTTTGCGACCTTTCTCCTCTAAAGCCGTTCGAGCACTATGCCTCGAATGCGTTAGTCCCCTTCGAGAGATCTATTACCTGCGTCTCACACACTCTGGTTTGTTTCAAGGGTTTGCTACTGATTGTCAAGTTGCCGAGCCCCCGTCATGTTTTCTCAAATGCCCCGGCCCTTTTCGAGCGGATTGCTTCCGTTTCTCAATTGCTTGTCTGTCACCCTACGCGTAGTTACCTATGAAGCTCAAGTAGAAAACCGAAAACTCGTCCAGCAATGCCCGCACCCGCAATCACTATTGTCTCGGAAGTTGACGCGACCCCAACGCTGAAAACTCGAACCGGGAAGCTTCATCCTAAGCCCTCAAACTCAAGGAACCCACATGTAAACTGACAGAAATCATGCCGGACTACTCATACAGAAAGCGATGGGAAGAGCGCGTTGTCATCGCTTTCTGGGCGGCCCGCAGATGCGGCGCGCCGAGTCGACGAGGAAGTCGATGCCGTGGACCTGGGAAGGAAGAAGTGCGAAGTCTTCAGGAGTTTTTTTTGGTTGGGGGTTTGGATTTTCTGGTTTTGCAGTATGTGAGACGGTCTGAAGGAGTCTGCACAAGGCTTTTTATGAGGTTTGAAAGGATACTACAGGACCTCTTAAGGGTCTGTCATATCTGAACGGGCGTTAGGATCTAGGACTTACCAGTTTAGGCTTTATTTGAGCATCGCTCATGAAGCTTGAGAGCCTAAGGACTTATATAATGGGTTTGAGGAGTTTGAGGTTTGAGGCCCTTGCAAGGTTGAGAGGAATATTGCGGGAGTCCTGCTCAATTGATCACACAGCAGGTCTGGAAACCCGTGCGACACGAAGGCACCTATACACGTTGATGTATTTAGCAAAACGCTTTGTCATCGAATGAGATTTCGGGCGGTTGGGGTTGAAGGCTTATAGAGATTCAAAGGCTGCCAGGTTCATGGGTTGAGCTTCAGCGGTTCCGCCTCAGTGTGTGCGTTTCAGCTTCGGGTGCTGAGGATGCCAGAAGCAGAGAGCAAAAAGTGACATAGGATTGGGGTTTTCGGGCAGCCGTCACATGTGCTCTTCTTGTTCGACCCATCTTGGGTGATCCAAGATATTTGCAGGTACCTGTAATGCGGCAGCCTCACCAAAAACACTGGTAAAACTGCCGTGTAACAACCACCAACAACAGACGAAGAACCCTGAGAATCCCAAGCCAAGCGCACTAGTCCCAGCGTTTTGGGACGTAGAAGGCTTCATGGATTCGGGCTTGGGCTTCAGGATTCAGGGTTGGGGTTTTATGGTTAAGAGATTAGGGTCTCAGCCTCAGGGCTTCGTGTTGAGGGCACAGGACTTCCGGTACATTGCTGGCCTCTTCGTCGAGTGCTTCCCGGTCCACCTGAAGTGCTGTAGTATGGGGCCACCATGCAATTATCATAGCGGGGTTGACAAGAGGTCACTGGAAGACCCTGTAAGGTGATTTTGTGACGGTTTCCGGTTTACTGTGGGTCATGATTGCTGAGAGTACGGCCTGGGGCGTAGATTTCAGGCAGTTTAACCAGGTGGCAAAGCTTCCAGTTCAGGCTTGTAGCCTTACGAGGCGTTCTATCGGTGCTTGCTTGAGTTCATTCTTGAAGGGCTTTGTCACGCACAGTCGGGGTGGCCTAACGTTGGGAAGGCGTGGGATTCCTTCTAACTCGAGCGTCTACGCACTGCGCCGACTACCGTCACCCTAAACCCCGAGCCGAAGCTCCAGCCCCAAACCGCAAGCCTAAAGCGCAAAAACCAGACCCATATGGCCATCATGGCTTAAGCCTCAAGCCCCGAACCTCGTCCGCGTCGACGAGGCGGCGGATGTTTATTGACTTTGCCTGCAAGGAGCTTTCCAGGCCCACAGGTATAATGCTTTGAGGATTCGGCCGGGTTTTAGGCTTCAAAGCCACTCGGCTAAATGCGGGACTCCCAACTTAAGACACCCATGTGGGCCAATTTTTCCACAAAGTACCGTGTGCAAATTCCAGCACTGCTACTGTTCGCATGACTTCGTTTCGATACCCCAGGCCCGCAACTCTTGCAGCCCTCTCAAAACCCTAAAACCGAAACCCTGGACCTCAACAAACCCAAGTCCAAAATCACAAACCTCAAGAACCACCAGACCGAGGCTTAAAAGCCTGGTCCTTGGAAAACCCTGCATAACCCAAGCCCTGAGCCATAAAGCTTAAATCCCACATGCAAAACACCCTCAGAACCCAAACCGGCAACCCATGAACTCGAAGTCCTGGGGTTCACCCAACCGGGGAATTCGCCAACGACCACGCCTCCAGGCGGACAACGGCGGTCCTCAGTAGGCTCAGGGCGGCTCGGCGGGCCAAAGTTGGTAAAGCAGATCCCCGAGTTTGGGACCCCGTGCTACTACACAGGGTACTTTATAGGAACCCCATTGAAGGGATCTACTCGACATCCTGAAGCCTCAGCCACTATGCCCTGAACAACCAGAAGCTTTAACATCAGGAAGGCCTCAATCCATAAACCCTGAAAGCCCTCGACTCTCAAGCCTGCGGCTCTCCCGTGGGTGACAGAGTCAGAAGGGCCCAGAAATGTACTAGAGGGCTTCGTGGGTCGATGGTTTAGGGATCTAGCATGGAAAATCGGGCAGCGCTCGGTGCCCGAGCGCTTGCGTCCTGTGAGTTCTGCGCTTGGCCGTGTATAGCCATCAAGCTATGCAATAGCAAAAGGCACGACGCCCCGTGCCGCCGACCCTGCTTCATCGGACCTTCGTTTTTCCGTTGGGCCGCGCAGGACCTTGCCCGGAGGCCTCTCCGAACGCGAACGTGTTTTGCAGCCATTCTCAACACTATGCGTGGACGACTCCAGGAGGCCAGCCGGCGAGCATCATGAGCACTCGAGCGCCCGCAACCGGCCCTGCGGCGCGAGGCGATGTTTTGCCAATTTTTTGAATGGGTTGCGGAAGCCCCCACAGGGCGCATATCATCAGCAGCAGCGGGTTCGGCGGAGGGCGGGTGCGTGGCCTTGCTCCAGGCTTCGACCTGCCTTCCTCAGTGGGCGCAGCCCCGAGAATAAACGTGCCGCGCATTGTTGGTGCGAGGGTCAACGAACCGAGCTATCCTCTGGACACAAAAAGCTTCACCTCCAAACACCCACAAACAGACACGAAACCTGAATCTCTAAACTCCGAGCACTCGGCTTTAGCCGACTGTTCTCCTCTTCCGAAGGCTGTTTGGCCTTGGCAGGTTTCGAGGGTGAAGGGCTTCAGGAGTTTTTGCTTCACGGCTTGGCACTATTGGTTTCAGAGGTCTGGGCTGTTTGTAAAGTTTGAACTCCAGGCCTGTACGCACTGAAACCACACCCTATTTGCCTTAACCCTAAACCCACGAACGCCAAACCAACCCCGCAGCGCTGAACCGCAAGCGTTCGGGATGTCGGGTTAGG